AAAGAAAGAAAGAAAGAAAGAAAGAAAGAAAGAAAGAAAGAAAGAATAGGAAAGGAAAGGAAGGAAGGAAGGAAGTCTTCTGTACTTATCTCTGGAGAACTATGTGACATGGAAAAATACTGATTCCCTCTGTAGCCAGGCTGGAGCCGTGAGACCGTCAGTTCTCCTTTCACCTACACTGTAACACCTGCATTTTGCCTTAGGGCTCAGTTAGCACAAATGTAGATACTTGTTTGTTTTTCTCCTGACTGGGATATCTGTGTGAAATTATACCCAGATGTGAACTGGGATCTCCTTGAAGCAGAAAGGACAGGAAACCTGCCCTATTTCCCTTGCCACCATCAGACACCCAGCTCTGTACATTCAGGACCATCAGGGTTCCCACATGTATCTTGAAAGAACTTTTGGAATTACTGATTCAGAATGAGTAAGTTGTAGATTGGAGAGGAAAAGAAAACTATAGCCTTTACTATTAATTTAGTATCCAAAAATAGGTATTTAGTCTAATGACAAAGCAAAATGTAATATATTATACTTGCTATAATGTTTAATTTAATTTAATTTAATTTAAATATGTGAATGTTGAAGTCCCAATGATAATTTTATTTTTTGTTTTATATAATGTAATGTATTTTATTACTGAATTTGAGATCAAATTTGATGAGGAATACATGTGTAATATAATTAAATCAAATGGAAAAGTAGTATTCAGTTTACATAAAGTTTAGCCATTACGAGGTCCATGCTATCAGGCAAGGTCCACATACCATCTCAACCACCATCAATCTCATAATTATCAACCATGTTTGCAAAATGACTCATTATCATCATTTGCATGATTTTTCCTTAATTTTTCCAAGCACATGAACCATTATCTTCTATCATCTTCTACAGTGTTAGAATCAATAATACATATCCCATAGTCAGAGAGATGTAGATACATGGAAATACAATGAAATGGATCTTCTCCTTTTCTTCTCCTCTTCCTCTTCCTCATCCTCTTTCCCCCCTCCCCCTCTGCCACCTCTCCTCCTTCTCTCCCACTTCTCCTCCTCTCCACTTCTTCTCCTCCCCCCCACTTCTCATTCTCTCCTTCTACTCTCCCACTATTTTTCCTCCTCCTACTCCTCCCCCTCCTTCTTCTTCCTCTTTTCCTTCTCCCCATCTCCCTCCTCCTCCTTCTTCCTAATAATATCAGTCATGAATCTTGTCATATCTAGAGTCATTGGTCCTTTTCCGCTCTTTTATGCTACTCCCCATGCTGCCATGTGGGAACCATGAGGTCCCCCTAGGAACTTTTCTGTCTTAGACAGGAACTGGCTCCCAACCTCCATCCTTTACATATCACACTCCCACAGGACAATGATCTTGTCCAGCTATCACCTCCAGAAAACATCTGGTCTCCATCACCCTTTGGGACTTGGCTGCATTGGGGGACTGAACTCCAAAAGCTGAGATTTTAGGCTCGAGGTTTTTGTAAACACTTTTGTTTAACACTTATATTATCGGATCCAATATATTTGTCTGTCCAAGTGATGGTCCATTATCTGTGAGGTACTCACGGGAAGAAACATGCCATATATCTCTCTGTATTATTAGCTTTGAATGGAGTAAAAGGGACAGAGCCTGTGCCACGGCATGGAAGTAAATGAATGAAAAGGGCACAGCAGCTGGTCTAGAGCAGACCTGAGTGGGAAGTAATTTGACAGTCACAAGGACATCCTGGTTCCACCTTATTAGAACATTAGGCTCATGCCCAGGAACACACTGAGGGCAGGCAACTAGGAACTGTTCCAGGCTGTCACCTCCCCTGGTTGTGAAAGCAGCAGCATGCTCTGGCCCTGCATCACATCACAACCCTCCCTCCCCCCGCCCCTGCACAGGATAAAAGGGCTCCTGCCCTGGGCTCCTCATCCACAGCCTCCTCAGGAACAGCCTTGTCCTGCCTCCTCGGCATCCCGTGAGTATCCCCTCAGCTGAGAGTGTTGGGAAGAAAAGCCCAGATCTGAACAGAACCAACAGGAAGGGGCCCAGACAGTGGGCAGCAATGGTGAAGGGGCATGACGGTGAGGAAAGAGTCACTGAGGCACCTGTCAGGGGGCTGTGAACCCGCAAAGCCACAGGTCTTCAGGATTCCTTCCATTCTTGTTCTGAGTATGTTGTCAGGGGTGCACACAGATCCATCTGGCATCCAAGTGCACGTGTCCCCTCCATGTCCCCATTTCTGTCCCACAGAGCTTGGCCTAGAAAGCAGCTTGGTCATGGAGACAAGTGTTTGACAAAACCCACAGGGAGGGGACTTTTCGTGAAGCTTCTGTGCTCATAAAGTTTCTTCTATTTGTTGAAGGTCAAACTCCTGCAGAGATGTCCTGCCAGCAGAGCCAGCAGCAGTGCCAGCCCCCTCCCAAGTGCCCCTCATCGCCCAAGTGCCCCCCAAAGAGTCCAGCACAGTGCTCCCCGCCAGCTCCTGCTGTCTGTGCTCCTGGCTCCGGGGACGGCTGCTGCCTGAGCCACCACAGGCACCACAGATCCCACAGATGCTGGCTCCACGGCTCTGACACCTGTGACAGTGGCAGTGGGCGGCAGTCTGGGGGCTCTGGGTGTGGCCATGGCTCCAGGGACTGTTGCTGACCCGGGATCCTGATGCTGAGACTCGTGATATGATAGGAAATGGAAATCTAAAATGCCTGGAAAAGCCTTGTGTAATGCAGTCTTCCCTACATCCCCCTATCTCCCTTTCCTGGTTGAGCAGCTGAAATGTTCATGGATGTGGGAAGGAGGGTGAGCTCTCTGCAGGAGGCTCTGTTCGTATGTCTTTTCCAGGAGCGCATGGTCTCCCCCTTCTCATTGCCTCACATTACTACTACCTGTGTCTGATCATCTAGAAAAATAAAGCTCTTTGTCACACCAACTTCTTCTCTTTTTTATTGTTATGTTAATCACCATACATTACATCATTTGTTTTTGATGTAGTGTTCTATGATTCATTGTTTGTGCATAATACCCCGTGCTTCATGCAAAATGTGCCCTCTTTAATACCCATCACCAGGCTAACCCATTCCCCCACCCTCCTCCCCTCTAGAACCCTCAGTTTGTTTTTCAGAGTCCATCATCTCTCATGGTTCGTCTCCCCCTCCAACTTACTCCCCTTCATTCTTCCCCTCCTGCTATCTTTTTCTTTTTCTTTTTTCTTAACATATGTTGCATTATTTGTTTCAGAAGTACAGATCTGTGATTCAACAGTCTTGCACAATTCACAGCGCTCACCATAGCACATACACTACCCAATGTCTATCACCCAGCCACCCCATCCCTCCCACCCCCACCACTGCAACAACCCTCAGTTTGTTTCCTGAGATTAAGAATTCCTCATATCAGTGAGGTCATATGATACATGTCTTTCTCTGATTGACTTATTTCACTCAGCATAACACCCTCCAGTTCCATCCACGTCGTTGCAAATGGCAAGATCTCATTCCTTTTGATGGCTGCATAATATTCCATTGTGAATATATACCACCTCTTCTTTATCCATTCATCAGTTGTTGGACATCTTGGCTCTTTCCACAGTTTGGCTATTGTGGACATTGCTGCTATAAACACTGGGGTGCACGTACCCCTTCGGATCCCTACATTTGTATCTTTGGGGTAAATACCCAGTAGTACAATTGCTGGATCGTATGGTAGCTCTATTTTCAATTTTTTGAGGAACCTCCATACTGTTTTCCAGAGTGGTTGCACCAGCTTGCATTCTCACCAACAGTGTAGGAGGGTTCCCCTTACTCCACATCCCTGCCAACATGTGTCATTTCCTGTCTTGTTAATTTTAGCCATTCTGACTGTTGTGAGGTAGTATCTCATTGAGGTTTTGATATGCATTTCCCTGATGCTGAGCGCTGTTGAGCACTTTTTCATGTGTCTGTTGGCCATTTGGATGTCTTCTTTGGAAAAATATCTGTTCATGTCTTCTGCCCATTTCTTGCTGTGTTCTTTTTTTTTAATTTTTTATTGTTATGTTAATCACCATATATTACATCATTTGTTTTGGTGTAGTGTTCCATGATTCATTGTTTGTTCATAACACCCAGTGCTCCATGCATAATGTGCCCTCTTTAATACTCATCACCAGGCTAACCTTTCTCCCTACCCTCCTCCCCTCTAGAAACCTCAGTTTATTTTTCAGAGTCCATCATCTCTCCTGGTTCGTCTCCCCCTCTGACTTACTCCCCTTCAGTCTTCTTCTCCTGCTATCTTCTTCTTTTTCTTTTTTCTTAAAATATGTTGCGTTATTTGTTTCAGAAGTACAGATCTGTGAGTCAACAGTCTTACACAATTCACAGCGCTCACCGTAGCACATATCCTCCCCAATGTCTATCACCCAGCCACCCCATCCCTCCCACCCCCGACCACTCCAGCAACCCACAGTTTGTTCCTGAGATTAAGAATTCCTCATATCAGTGAGGTCATGTGATACATGTCTTTCTCTGATTGACTTATTTCACTCAGCATAACACCCTCCAGTTCCATCCACATCGTTGCAAATGGCAAGATCTCATTCCTTTTGATGGCTGCATAATATTCCATTGTGTATATATACCACATCTTCTTTATCCATTCATCTGTCGATGGGCATCTTGGCTCTTTCCACAGTTTGGCTATTGTGGACATTGCTGCTATAAACATTGGGGTACATGTACCCCTTCGGGTCCCTACATTTGTATCTTTGTGGTAAATACCCAGTAGTGCAATTGCTGGATCGAATGGTAGCTCTAATTTCAACTGTTTGAGAAACCTCCATACTGTTTTCCAGAGGGGTTGCACCAGCTTGCATTCCCACCAACAGTGTAGGAGGGTTCCCCTTTCTCCACATCCCCGCCAACATCTGTCGTTCCCTGACTTGTTCATTTTAGCCATTCTGACGGGTGTGAGGTGTATACCACATCTTCTTTATCCATTCATCACTCAATGGACATCTGGGCTCTTTCCATAGTTTGGCTATTGTGGACACTGCTGCTATAAACATTAGGGTGCATGTGCCTCTT